GCACCTAGTATTGCTTTTAGCTATTTTTATCATGAGATAGCCACAAATAGATATAATATATAGCAAAATATCCTGAGGTGCAGAGGAGGATGAAGTATTATTTATTTGGGGGAGGGGCAGTATAAGGAGAATGGATATATTCCAGGTCAAAAGCTAAGCAACAGGCAAGGGAAACCTGCACTATGCTATACTATACTCTGCTATAATATACTATGCTTTGTTATACTGTGCTATTACAGACAAAGTTCATGGGAAGCCATCGTTTTGGACTAGCGTCCTGCACTGGGCCCCAGCAGACCAACCAAACCACAGTGGAGTCACTCATGCTAGGTGCTACCTAATCAAACTGAACTGTGTGATGAGCCAGTTTCCAAGAGAACAGGAGGTTCGCAGTAACCAATCACAAGAAGCCCAGTGTACACGGAGCCAGCATGATAAAAAAATATCCCCTCTGTTTTAACCCTTAAGAAAAGTAACTTTGAAACCACCAATCCATGTTCTGTTTCATTTCTGCTTTGTCCAGCTCCTTTCTGCCTACAAAGCCCAGCCCTTCTGCTCAGCTCCTTGGAGCACGCATTCTACTTTATAGAATGAGGAGTTGCCCTATGCTGGAATTGAGAATAAAAGCCAATTAGACCAGTAAACTAAATTTGTTGTAATTTTGCCTTTTGATATCACACAAATGTGAAGAGAGAGGGGCTGACCAGTTGTAGAAGGCATTGCATTGGTAGAATCAACAGGGTTTGACAGATATTAGACGGAGTAGATAGTTGACAGGAAGGGGTCAAAGACAATTCCAAGTGTTGAGTTTTGGCAAGTTGAGGAATGCTGGGATTATGAATAAATTGGGAAGTCAAAAAAACCAAAACAAACTTGTTTGTGGAAGAATGTGGCGGGCTTGATTTTGATCATCTTGCATTTGAAGTGCTAGTGGAATATTCTGGTAGTGATGTCTAATTGGCAGTTGGAAATTATGTTCAAGGGAAAAGATGAGTTCTGGAGATACTGAAATTTGAAATCATCATCAAGAAGACGAAGTTGAGAGTTTCAATTAAACGTCCAGAGGGACAGTAATACAGAATCTTGAACTAGGTGTACATTCTGGGTTCTGGAATAGAAAGAACTGCTAGCAAAAGGAGAGGGAGAAGAATCCCTTTCCAGAAAGACAGTGCACCAACTCGCCAATCAATGTAAGTATCCCAGCTCATCAGCAATATGAGTGTCATTGTGAATGGATTCATCAAACCACCATTTATTGATTTTTTTTTCCCTCAGGGAAAGGAATCGCACCAGTTCACCTGGAGGCTGATCAATGCTGGGTGAACAGACTACACCATCTCTAAAGTAGCAAAGCTTAAGACCAGATGCTGAAGTGGAACTGGAAAGTCCAGCCATGCCCATGTCCACGTTAGCCATTTTGCTCCTTTTCTCTCTTGTACTTGGTTAATGACCCTGATCCTGGAACTGGAGTTCTGGAGCATTCCATGCCCATGACCTGGTCTGGAAGCAGCTCTTCTCACCTGTTCTGCCATGCTACACCGAGAAGTGTCCTCCAACTCCTGAATTCTTGTCATACCTTCTACTTGCTTTTCCTCTTTCCCCCTCCTTTGACCAATCCAGCCAATTCATTGCTTCCTGCCTAATGCTATTCTATTACTAGTTTTAGATCATTAACACTCTTCCATCCTATCATGCCCTTGCTCGAAAAGCCTCAATAGTTCCTTTATTGCCCAGTGCACTGTGTGAGCTCCTTAACTTGGCATTGAAAATCGTCCCCAACATGGCTTATCCTCAACCACCTATGACTTCTATTCCAGCCAAACAGGACCCTTGATGATTCTTGAACCCCACTGTGGGTCTGCACTTCAATACTAGTGCTGAATCCCAAACTGAAATCTGGTTCATATTTCACAAAACAGCTGTTTTTTGCACCCACATCTTGAATTATCTATTTATTTTCTCTCAACTAGATATAAACTCTTCTAGGAGCCAGTAGAGTGCCGAAACCAAAAGCTTGGATTCTAACAACCCACCATCTAGGTTCGAATCCCAGCTACACCATTAGCAGATTGAGAGATCATACACAAGTCACTTTTTATCTCTGCATTTCTTTCCTGATATGGAAAATAAAGAATATTAATCAGATATTAAATGAGATGGCATACATTCAATCTGGAGCCTAGAGCCCTGTAAGCATGCAGCAAACTTGAGCTAGCGTGGCAGGTGCTGCTGCCAGCCCACCCACATCCTCCTGGTATTTGTCTCTGCTTTCTCAAGGCTGTTTATGGACAACATTTGTGACTCTACACGGTCATGATGACATACTCAGCGCTCATAAAGGGCAGACTGGAAGTGTCTGAGACATAATCAGTCTCCCACAAAGCAACCCTCAAACAATGACAGATGGAGGGTTAGTGAATGAATATCCCATATTTGGAATAACTCTGGAATATTTTCTATAGTGTGGACAGTGTAGAGTCTCTAACATCTTCCAGAGTTCTCCAGCAGGTTCTAAGGCCAGTTGCTTTCTATTGTAAATGGCTTGACAGCTACCTTTTATCAGCTTCCTTCCCTTCCCTGACTTACTCTCCACTCTTCTACATGTGTTTCCTGAGGTCATCATCCAAATAAATTACTCGTACTGTACTTGGATTCTTGTCTTGGGGTCAGATTCAGGAAGAATCTAAAACCATGACACCTCTCATCATTAGAGATGCCTTCTTTCTCCAAAACCACCAAAATATGACTTTGTTTGTGTTAGTCTTCTTGTAGTTAGAATCGACCCTTCTAAGACTTAAAATCCAACAGAAAAATGAAGACCAGACTACAAATAACTCTAAACAGTGACAAGCACAGTACCTCTCACGTAGACGTTATACAATCTGTGTTTGAAAAACAAAAGTATCAGGGGAGATCAAAAGGTTACTCCGTAAATATAAAAATAGAGCAAGTACTAGTGATTGGTCACTGAAAATATTTGACAAAGTTTTGTGGTTCAACACACCCTTACTCGTGGGTATAGATCTACCTAATACACCTGTAAGTCACTCAAGATGCTGTCCCCTTGACGTCAGGTCTCCCCTCTCCCGCCCCAGCTAGATCCGAGAGGCATTTGCCATGACCTCACCACTGTTTTCTCTTGGTAACATACGTGTGTAACCTTTTATATTTTCTAAATATGGAAAACATTCTACAGAGATTACATTTTAGGCAGCTGCTTCCTGAAGACCTAGAGGTTCTCACTTTAATCTTCTTAGCACATTCTTCAGGTTGCAGTGTGGAGTGGGTGACTTCCCCGAGACTTTTTTGCAGAGGTCTAATCCAGCCATGGGGTGTGGTTTCTTGTAACAGCCAGTCAGGAAAATCTTCCTCTCCAAACTCCTGTCCTGACCCCTTCCCGAACTTTGCCTTCCGGATCTTGAGGTCTGTCTTACAGGGAAGACAAATTCTAGAATCAGTGAACTGTGAACTAGAGCCCGAGGATTATCAACAGGTAATGGTGATACTGCGTCAGGTGGCCATACTGCGTCAGGTGGCCGCATGAGGTTTGTGATGACAAAGCTAAGAGTGGCTGCTACCTTGGTGCTCCCAGCAGCAGCTTTCAAAACTATCCTTCCATGGCAGAGTTCTCAAAGGGAGTCCCGTGGACTGTGTATGTAGAAGGACTTCTGGAGCTGCTTAAAATGCAGATCTGGCTGGTCGCGCTCAGGCTCACTGAATCAGAATCGCCTGTGCAGCTGCTTCCATTTGCAGTTTTTACAAACTCCCTGTGTGATGAGGTGACCAACTCATCTAAGTTTTAGTACTGGAAGTCACAAGTTAAGGAAGCTCTTCGGTCCCAAGAGAGTTGGCCACCGTGTGAGTGCACTTTACGCACACTGAATTTTTAGAGCTGTCTTATAGACCCCGACACGTGCCGCACTAACACAGATGTTACTTTCACTTGGCAAAAGTCTCTTTAATCCAGTGCGACATTGGAGTCAGAGCTCCCCTGGACGCGGGGCTTGGTGAGAGCCTTCCGTGGGGCTTGAGTGTTTGGGAGGCCCAGAGTGTGTGTCTGTTACTTAACTTTTCCTTTCTTTTGAACCTCAGGTGCAGGGACTTGAACTTGGTCCTGAGTTTATTGTAAATGATTTTCCCCCTAAGCATTTTATTCCATGTCTACAAGGCCCAACTCTGGAGTTACATGTTATTTTTTCTCATTTTCACCCACCGCTCCATGCTCAGCAGAACTTTACAACGTGATTGTTATAGACTCTTGAGTTTGTTTGTATCCTTGTAGAGCATACAGCATTGTTCCTATAAATTTTGCATTCTGCTGCAGATTTCTTTCTAACTCTTCCCCTTTTCTGTTAAGTACTGTGTTTAATGCTGTGTGGTCCTTTAATTTGTTGTTTCTTGTGGCAGTGTTCATGCCCTTGTGCATTCACCCTACCTTGACCACGGGCTGCACCTAGGAGTTGACTCCTAATGAACAGAATGTGGCGAAAGTGCTGGCATGTCACTTTTGAGATTGGATTACAGAAAGCCTCTGTCTTCCTCCCTTGCTCTCTCACTTGCTTGCTCTGGAGGAAGCCAGCTAAAATTTTGCAAGCTGCCCTATAGAGAGGCTAATAGCAAGGTTGGGGGAGAGGCCTCCAGCCAACAGCCCGCGAGGAATTGAGGCCCTCAGTCCAATAGCAGTGAGGCACTGCATCCTGCCAACAGCCTCGTGGGTGAGCTTGGAAGCAAATCCTCTCCTAGTCTAGTTGAGACTTGAGATGACTGTAGCTCTTGCCAACACTTGATTGCAGCCTTGTGAGAGACCCTGAGCCAAAGGACCCAGCTAAGCTGTGCTGGCTCCTGGCCCATAAAGACTGTGATATAATAAATGTTTGTTGTTGTAAGATGTTGAATTTGGAGTAATTTGTTACACAGCAATAGATAACTGATATGCTTCCAATCATCACATGCTCCCCGTAGCATGCCCCAGCCACATTGTACTTGTCTGCTCCCTGCAGACGGACAGCTCTCGGACTCCAGCTCCCATTCCTACTGCAGCAGCACCACCACGAATTCCTCCAGAAAGACCGACCCCCTTCTGGACCTGTTCGAGCCGTCCTCTGGGAGGTACGTGCACAGTGGGAGGACCCAGAGATTAGGAAAGCACTTAGAACCATGCTCTCAATTTCTCCACTTCCAAAACTGAGAGTATTGCCACTGAGACAAGAAGATATTCCCCCCGCCCCCCTCCCAAGCATTTTGTTCTAAAAGTGCATAGTCTTTAAGGGGAAACAGAGAGACCACCTGATGAATGGGTATTTTATATGTGGATGGTGGGTGAAGGAATAGTCAGGGTGGTCTGTGGAACAACTCAAGGTTTGGTGTCCTGTCTCAAAAAGACCCTCAGATGTGTCTCTTCTTTTGTTCCCCAAACTGAGTGATTCATGCTGGGCTCCAGACATGAAGGCTAAGAGTAAGAGGAGGAAAGCCTTGTTCAAAGCTGAGTGGACACATCTATAACCATTAAAACAATATTTCTCTGTTTGGATTGAGTAAATGGCCTCAGATTCCTGGAAATGTGTGCGGAGACCCCGTGGCCATGAGAAGATCTGTCATTTTATTTTTTACAGTAGGCTGAAATATATTTGGAAGTCACTGGACTGTGTCTGTCCTACATCAAAAGGCGTTTCATAACAAAACACCATCATGCCCCATTTATAGTAATAGCATGCTGTGCTCAGCTGCTGTGGGCAAATAAAATATGTTCTTGTAATATAAACAGCCTCACCTTCCCTCTAAAGACTAAAGGGTCATGAAAGATTTATTTAAATAGGGTTTTGAAATATAAAGACACATACAAATGCATGTTAAAAATTCACATGTGTGTATACATATACAGATGGATAGGTAGAGCATACATGAGAGATTGTCATACAAGGGCTCTAAACTCTAAAATCTAATATATAGTGTTGGAGGACAAAATATTAGAGCCAGAGAGACATTAAAAATCTTTCAGCACAAGCACCTCATTTTTTTTTTTTTTTGCTTTTTTCCCATTTTTTTTCATTGTGGTAAACACACATAAAATTTCTCATCTTAACTATTTTTACAGTACGGTTCAGTGATATTACATACATTCATAATGTAATGTAACCATCACCATCATCCATCTCTGTAACTCTTTTTCATCTTGTAAAACTGAAACTCTATCCCCAATAAACAGCAACTCCCCATTCCCTACTAAACTTGACCCCTGGCAACCATCATTCTACTTGCTGTTGCTATGATTTTGACTAAGTACTTTATACAAGTGGAATCTTACGGTTGCCTTTGCCTTTTTATGGACTGGCATATTTAACTTAGCATAATGTCCTCAAGATTTATCCATGTTGTAGCACATGTCAGAATTTCCTTCCTTTGTAAAGCTGAAAAATATTGTATTGTATTTATGTACCATAAAATTCATCTAGCCACAGACACTTGGGTTGCTTTTGTGAATAATGCTACTATAGGCACGAGTGTGCAAATATCCCTTCAAGGCCCCGCTTTCAGTTCTTTGGGGTACATATCCAGAAGTGGAAATGCTAGATCACATGGTACTTCTATTTTTAATTTTTTGAGGAACTGCATACTATTTTCCATAGCATTTGTACCATTTTATTTTCCCATTAACAATGCATAAAGGTTACCATTTCTTCATATTCTGGCCAACACTTATTATTTTCTGGTTTCTGGTATTTATTTGTTTTTATAGTAGCCACCCTAATGAATGTTAGGTGGTACCTTGTGGTAGTTTTAACTTGTTCTTTCCTAATGATTTGTGATGTTGTGCATCTTTTCATGTGTGAATTGGCCATGTGTATATCTTCTTTAGAGAAATACTTATTCAAGTCCTTTGTCTATTTTGAATTGGGTTGTTTTCTGCTGTTGAGTTTAAGGAGTTCTTAAATATTCTGGATATTAATCCCTTATCAGATATATGATTCGCAATGTTTTCTCCCATTCTGTGGGTTGACACTTACATTGTTGACATTATCTTTTGATGCATAATTTTTAAAAAACATTCATGAAATCTAATTTGTCTATTTTTCTTTTGTTGCCTATGCCTTTGTTGTCATATCCAAAAAATCATTGCCAAATCCAATGTCATCAAGGTTTTCCCCTATGTTTTCTTCTAAGAGTTTTATAGTTTTAGGTTTTATATTTAGTTTAATTCATTTTGAGTTAATTTTTGTATATAGTAGTAGGTAGGAATTCAACTTCATTCTTTTGCAAGTGGATACCCAGTTTCCCCAACACCATTTTTTGAAAAGTCAGATAGCTCATTTTACAAAGGAGGAAACTGAGGCCCAGAAGGAGAAGTGGCATGTCCAAGGCTTATGGCCTCTGCCTCCTGGTCAGCGCTATCCCAAACACTTACAATTAACATAAATTTAAATTGTTCAGAAAAAGGAAATGAGTTATTTTCTTATCTTTGGTGGGTTCGCTGATGGTGTAGTTACTACCAAACAGTGCTCAGGCTGATAGAGCATGTGATGATTTTAATGTGCTGTCCACAGATTCTTTGGTATTTCTTCCCTCAAAAGGTAGAACTTGATTCTCCTTCCATTAAGTGCAAACTGGACTTAGTAACTTGCTCCTAAAGATTAGAATATGGCAGAAATGACAGTGTGGCACTTCTGAGACTAGGTCATAAAATGCATTACAGTTTCCTCGTTGGTCTCTTTTGATAACTCCCTCTGGGGACATCAGCTGCTGTTTCTGTCCCTTCCCCTCCAAGTCCTGAGGAACCAGCCTCCTGCCCATGGCCATCTGAGGATGCCACCTTGGAAGCAGATCCCCAGCCCCAGTCAAGCCCTCAGATGACAGCAGCCCTAGCTGACACCTTGACTGCAGCTCCATAAAGAACTCTCAGCCAGAACTGCCCCACTGTGCTGCTCTCAAACTCCTGATCTACAGAAACTGAGATAATAAAGTTTATTGTTTTAAGCCATTAAGTCTTAGGGTGATTTGTTATGCAACAACAGATAGCTAGTATAGAGAATTAATTAAGCAGCCTCCCTTAAATTACCACCATGAAAGTGGCTGCCTATAATTAGAGGATCAAACCAGCCTGCTGGAAAACATTTTTTCTCTCGGGGCCTTGGCATTTAAGAATTGACAGCAAGAAGAATAAAAGAGGGAGACTTTAAGGCTGCCTTCTGGCTGCCTGTGTTGGGTCCATAGCCTGGTGAGCCTGGGGTGCTCTTCTGGTCCACGTTGCATGAAACTGACGGGTGGGAAGATGTGTGCCTTCTCAAGGTTTGACTCCAGAGCCTTGGGGAAACATTCTAGATCAGGATCATATGAAAACAGTCATTAGACCTTGGTTCTAGTTCCAGCTCTGCCCAGCTCTGGATGTGTCACTTTGGCCAAACCTCCTTCCTTTTATAGGTCTTAAGTTTGACCTTTTTAAATAAGGGAACAATCACCCATGCTTTGTCTTCTAACTTCCTCCTTAAAACAAGGAGCTGAAGACACTGGCCACCATCGAATGACCAATGGACAATTCCCTCTGTCATGCTGGAATTGGCAATCTGGTCCCTCTTCATCTCCTTTCCTTGCCTTTTTTTTTTTTTTTTGGCTCTATTTGTTCACTAAGTCTTTTCAGCTGGGGACTCAACAGTGACATTAAATGGGGAAAAAACTACCAAGAAAATGCAGTTCAGGTATAAGCTCACCTGGAGAGCAATGGGAAGGCAGTGGTATTCAAGAGGACTGAACCCTGAGTCAGATGCCTGGAGCTACATTGTTGTGGCTTTGCCACTCACTGGCTGTGCCATCTTGGAAAAGTCATCTCACCCTTCTTGACCTCAGCTCCTTCTTAAAGAAAATAATTATTATTATAATAGTCAATATTTAACTGTATTGTAAACACAGGGTTAAGTAAGCTGCATGCGTTGCCTTTAACACAACCCTGTGACATATGATTATTATAACATAAGCAGCCTCATAAAGTCCATAGTTTACAGATGAGGAAACTAAGGCTTAGAGATAGTAAGTGTGGAGCCAGGATTCAAACCCAAGTTCTTAACTACCATGGTCATGGTGATTCTGAATCCGTTTCAGCCTGAACTGGGGCTCTCTGGGCACAAGGATTTGGAAGAGATGTGGCACGTGTGAGGAACTGGTGGGGTCAAGGCTGCTGAGTGTTTAATCAGACAAGAAGCCACAGACTGAACTTAGTGTCAGGGAGACACTGGTTTGGGAGGAAAACGGAAGATTCTATCCACTTTTGATGCCGGTCACTGCAGTTTTGTGGTGCCAGCAAGAAAGCAAAGTAAAAACAGAAAGGGCCAGGTTATGGTTATGAGTGTGCAGGGCATCTGTGGAACTGGTGCCAGCATCTCTAGTAGCTATGGCTGAGTACGCCCCACCATGGACACTGACGACCTGGACACTGGCAGGAACTGAACGCCTTCAGCAGACATCGGTGACAGAGTCTCAGCAGTGACTGGACTCACTACTCCAGAGGAGCCAGGGCAGGAGATGGTAAATGCACCAGATGTCACGTGCCAGCCCAGAGGACCAGTTTACAGAGCATGTATGGGGCGCCCTCTGAGCCTACCCATGAGACACCAAGGGAGACAGAAACCCAGAAAAAGCTGGAAGAAATTTGAGAGAGAGCTCACATTTCTATAGAATAGAAGTGTATTTTTCTGGAGAAATTCTGTGTTTGCTCTTGGGATCCTATTTTTAGCCTCAGACTTGGGTGGTCTGAAAAATGTAGGTTCCTGATGACATGGAGGGGTGCTCCTCCCCGGTGCTCTGTGAAGGTCTTTCGTTTTGCCTCCTGGTTCCCAGAATCACAGATTATTAAACTCCATTGACAGAGGCACCAGGGCTGGCAAATGGCGGTGCGCATCCCTTGGTGAATCTTGAAAGCATTTCTGATGCTCATTTGTTGCCCCTGGGACTCCTGATGTTGAACTATGGTTATCTAGCTTAGTGGTCCCAGTTCTACTTGGTGAGAAAAGAGAACACTTTCTCTAACCGGCCACAGTGCTCTCCAGGGATTACGTCTGATCTGGGCCAAAGAGGCATTGTTCTCTGCTGGCTGTTAGGAGTCACGGCTTCTCCGCGGGAAGGCGGTTTGCACCCGTCCCATCCCATGGCATTGAGGTAAGTGCCTGCAGGGAAGGGGACTGGGGGGAGATGCGGTGAGGACCACATTCCTCCTACCAGGAAAAAGGGGCTGGCTTCTTTCTGAGAACTGCTTTCTGCTGGGAAGGGGCTGGATGAACTGTCTAACCCCACCTTTTTCTTAGAAATGGAGAGATTTCCCACCAGAGGAAGGAGAGGGGAGGCGAGAATGGAAAGGGCTCAGGGCATGGCCCTTCCTTTCCCTCTCCAACAGAAAGAAAAGCTGTCTTCCATTAGGAAGGGGAAGGAGATTCAAAACATCTGGCGGGAAAAGTGCTTGTCCTGGAGGGCCCGTGAGAGCAGGGCGAGACGCAGGGAGGCTGGGAGGGTGGGAGGCGCGCAGAGGCGTCTGGACAGGGTGCCGGCTTTGCAGGACCTACATGGTCCTCAGCATCTTTCCCCCTTCACTCTTCCTGGGCTCCTGGTCAGGCTGAGGCCTTTGGCTGCCTCCCACTCTGGGCTAAAGGGAGCAGGAACAGCAGCCCAAAACAGAGGCAGCACAGCCAGAACTTCTCCTGGGGGGCAGTGAGTAATTTGCACAAGAGCAAGACCACCCACAAAGGTGGTTCCAGGAGTTCACAACCTCTAGCACTAAGGCATCTAAGCAGTTTGGTTTTGCCTGCGGAGAGCCTCCTCTCTAATCTCAAATCAACCAGGCTGCCTTCCTCCCCTCCTTTGAAACACTCCCAGACTCCTACCTCCTCTAAGAAGCTTTCTCAGATTGGATTATCTCTGCAGAAACTGCATACTGCTCCTCCCCAGCCAAAGACAAAAGGCCAGTGCTATGGGGTCACTGCCCTTTCCCGTTGCTGGCATGTGGGGTAGACTGCCCGCCGGCCCTCCCCACCCAAGCAGAGCTGGTGACTGGGAAACACTGGGGGTGCAGACGGAGCTGTGGCTAATTTCCTGGAAAGCAAGCTCCTATCTCAGAGACCCCAGGGTTGCCAGGAGTCAGGAGGCCCCAAAATCTGAAGGCTCCTTAGAGATGACCTGTAGTGCAGGATTTACTATTAAATACATTCCCTAAGAGATCAGGGCCCAGCAGGCTGTGACCAGGATTTCCCTGGAGGTGATTCCAGAAAAGGGGTGAGGAATAGTCCTTTCAATGTACCCAATGACTGATAGAGCAGAGAGATGGTCTGAGCAGGGGCTGGGCACTCCGGGAATCATGTAAATGTGGGCCTGTGTCTGTTTTCCATCAGCCTCTCTCATTGGAACATGGTAGTCTCTTGTGGGTTTATAGTTTGTACCAAGCACCCAGGCCCTAGAGAGTCCACTGTCTTAGGGTGTTACCAAAAGTTCAACACTTGTCCCTGAGGCCACATCAGAAGAATGAGGACAAGTGGTTTGAGGAGAAGGAAAGAGGAGTTTCCTAATTTGGCAGCAAATGAGGAGGTTGGCAGACTCCCATCTCAAAGTACCCATGTCCTGCTTCTGAGCAGAAGTACAGAGCTATTCAAGGTTCTGATTCATCCCATCTTTGGCTAAGACAATCTTGTGACCTTCTCCTGGATGATTCCCTTGAGCCATCTCCGTGGCATAAAGAACAAAGGACATGCCCCTGCCCTTCCCAACCACTGGCCTGAGACAGAGATGTAGGTTTTAGTTCTCAAAAAGGGTAAGGGGGTTTTGAAGAGACAGAAAACATTTTACCCTTTTTCAAGCCATTTTTTTCTGTTGCAATGGAAGGTACACTCCCTGACCCACTTCAAGCCATGGAGTCATGAGCCATGTCCCAAATGGAGCAGCCGTTGGAAGGCACATGGCAAAGCTTCATTCCTGCCCTGTGGGCCTCTGTGGCCTCCGAGGCTTCTAGCCATGATGGCAATAATTAGTCAACTATAACTGCTAAACCTCAGCTGGTTCATATATAGAGATATATATTTCTGCAAAGGGAATAGCGTCAGACTGTCAGAGCTGAAAGAGACTGTAAACACTGAGGCCAAGTTTTATTTGGTACAAAAAGAAACTAAGGTCCAAAGAAGTTGCACGATGTGATCAAGATCACACACCCAGCTTGGACACGTAGGTGTTAGTCTCTCCTCTACAAAGACCTCTACCCTGTGCTGTTTACATAAGAAGTGGTGTCAGGGTAAGACACTAAGAGACACTAGGCATGGAAAAGCATTGATGAAGCATTCAAAATAAATACAACGCCAAATTTTCAAAGCTAAAACTTACAAGTTTTACTAAAGTGAAAGTAACTTTTTTCCCCCTCCTGGATATTTCAATTGCAAAATTCTGCAAAAGTTCATTAGAGATGAACTTTTCTAATTTTTTGTTTGATTTGTGCTTAGCCTGGTGCCTTGTAGCACATGCTCAGTCTTGCTGATTGGGTGATAACACACAATGATATATGCCATATACTTTGAGAGTGAGCACATTTATGTAATGAGAGTCCCCACACTCTCATTTTCCCTTTGCATCTTCTCTGAGGGCTCTATGGAGAAGGAGAAACTTTACAAGTAGTTTAAGGGCTGGACAGGGACACAGAGCCTGGGTCCCCCAGCTAAGTAAGGGCATGGCATTATCTTGGTAACAGCTATGTCTACTCACTGGACTCTTGTGCCACGCCTGGCCTCCCTGGCCATCTAGGGAAGCACTGAGGCCTATTTGGTGGATCCCTTCTTCTGCCCTGCAGGCTTCCTCATCCCCAGCCAAGAACCTAACCCGATGAGTGAGGGAAGAGCCAGAAAGTCCAGACTGGTGCACACTTGGGAAATGGGCTAATTTTAGATCTGGGGACTGGGTGGGGAT